TCCTTCGGAGCTGCGACAATCGGAACTGGTTGAGGAACGAGTTCTCCTTTTTGAAAACATGCTTGATAACTTTGAGAGAAACAAATTCAAAGAAAGGAGAGAGAAAATTTCTTGGATAAGTTATGAAGGATGAAGTAAAGAATTCAAAAATTCACCCCATATACTTATAAGAAAAAAATATTTACTATCCACCTTTGAACTTTTGGCCATTAAAGTTCCGCCTAATTCTACCAAACTTGCCGAGAAAATCCTATCCGCTCGCAAGAACTCCATGATTCTTACGAGCTGGGGGGCTAACTATTGGGGTCAAAATCGGTACGACGGAATCAATAGCCAAAACATCCCGCAAAAAGATAAAAAATACGTTTTATAAAACTCGAGAAATACGTTTTATAAAAACTCAAGAAATCGTTTTATAAAACTCGAGAAATCGTTTTATAAAACTCGAGAAATCGTTTTATAAAACTCGGGAAATCGTTTTATAAATCCAAAAGAGATTTTCGAACAAAGGAAATCCGCGGAAAACTCGGAAGATCGTTATCTCGGGAGAACGAAACAAACGTCAATTACACGGTCGTCCAAATTAAGCCAAACCGCAAAAAATCAAAACCACCCTAAAACGCGAGCTAGTCCCGACACAACTAGCTCGCCGAACGGCGAGCTAGTCTCGTCCCGAATAGCTCGCCGTTCGGCGAGCTAGCCTCGTCCCAACTAGTTCGCCCAACGGCGAGCTAGAAGCTTCCCGGGCAGCTCGCCCAACGGCGGGCTGAACCGGTCCAGTTTGCCGTACGTCGAGCCGACCATCCCGAGCCTCGATCTCCCACGTCCCCGGTTCAAGGCCTATGTCCTTCAAAGTTATCGTGTTCCGAACCACGGTCAAAATTTCTCCCGTTTCGTCTTATTCCGTCTTATTGTTCGAGTTATGATAAAAATACTTTGTTTTCTCGAAAAGAACTCGAGGAAATCGTATAAAACGGAAACGGTTAAACGAAACACCAAACATTTCCTAAACTATACGATTTATTCGAGATTTTTTCGCAAAAATCATAAAAAACGCGTTTTTAATAAAAACGTCAAGTGAATCGTAAAACGGCAGCGATTAACCGAAGAAAACGAACGTAGCTAAACTTTACGATTAAATCGAGGAACTTATTAAAAACGGCATCATATCAAGAAACGATCTCGTATAAAGTCGCAAAACAAAATTTATCGCAAAACGGCTCGGAAAGTCCTAAAACGTGATAAAAGCCCCATCTCGCGATCTTAGAGAAATCTAACCCAAAGATATGATAACGTTTTGACGATTTACCCGCAGAAGGAAGATAAATGTCAAGTTTGAAGGATAATGGCAAGTTTGAAGATAAATAGAAGATTTCCGCGGGAAAAAAGGAAAGATCGGGATAAATGGTAGATTCTCGATAAACTCGAATCTGGGCAAAATGGAAGGACCAAACCGCCAAGGAGGGGAGTATATAAGCAAGAGGCATAGGGCAGAAGCAAGGACACGTTTTTCAGAGCTTTCACCACCAAACTTAGCATTTTTGAATTTTTCCGTTTTTGTTATCGAGCTGCGTCTCAACTAGGGTTTTCGGTCTTAGACTTTTAAAGTTAGGGATTTCGCCGACGGCTCACGCAGCTAAGGCCACTCTCGTTGTAACCGTTCTTACGCAGATTCGGAATAAGATCCTTCTTGCTCTTCATCTTGTTAATTCCTACTTTAATTTTAAGTTCATCGTTTTCTTAATTATCTTTGTGCGGTTCCGCAGATAACCGGGTCCTCTGGAAACTTAGGGTTTACTCAAAGTTTCCTTATTCACGATTCATTGACAGTAGGCGAATTTCGGTTCCCACACGAACGAGAACTATTTTCACTCAGATATCCAGATAGTCAAACTCAGCTGTAGAAACAATATCCAGACTATGTTTTCTTTATGAATGTTATTCTTCCTTGTGCTATCATGTTTGTATAGTTTAGATACAGCCAACAAATAATAATGAATAGCTGCGATGTAATATAGCGTACATCATATCTATATGAATACCCATAATATGGTTGGCGATAATTTGCATTTAATAAAACAGTGACGAATTTTATAATTTTCAAGTGAAATATCAGTAGTTAATTAAAACTGATTTATGATGATATCTTCGTAATAGGGTGTGACAAATTTGAGAGTATGAGTTCGTCTTAAAAGAAACAGATTTGTAACAACTTTTCAGTTTCACTTGTGACTATTCTATACAAAAATTCTGTTGTAAAAAGCGATGGAATTGTGACGCTTTAATAGTAACAAAGTATTAAGAATTTGTAACATTTTTTTAGTTGATAACTATAACGACTTTATTACTTTTCTAAGTTGTTGCTAACTTTGACAAAATGATTACTATAAAATGTGTCACAAAATTTTTAACGTTTTTGTTACTCAAGAAAATTTGTGACGATGATATTTTCACCGTTCTCACATTGTCACAAACACGTTACAATAAAGATATTGTTACGGTATATATTTTATTGTGACAAATCTTTTTGTCACAATGCGCATATTTTTTTGTAGTGCTTATGGGTGTTTGAGTGTGTGTGTGTGTTTTGTTTTGATTCCAGGAGAATATAGAAACAAACTCAAAGCTATGTTTATTGGACATTCAATAACCCAGAAAGGATACAAATGCTATGTACCAAAAACCAGGAAGGTAATGGTGTCTAGAGATGTCAAGTTTGTAGAGAACAAGGGATTCTATGATGAGAAAAACTGGGATAATCTGAAGGATCTATCTCATCCACCATTGGACCGAGCAGCAAACCTTAGACTAATTTTGGAGAGTTTTGGGATCAACCAACCCAAAGAAAAAAATGAAACTAGGGTGTTGAGCCCACCCTAAAGGGAAGAAAGTTGTAAGCTCGAAATTGTTGATGACCATTAGTTACAAAAAAAAATGGGGAGATGGGGGACATAAGACAAGGCTGCTGGCAAAAGGTTTTACTCAAATAGATGGAGAAGATTACTTGGATACATTTTCCATGGTTGCCGAATTTCACACGGTAAGGGTTATTTTTTCATTAGCTACTAATTCTGAGTGGGATCTTTGGCAGATGGATGTCAGGAATGCATTCCTTCAAGGTGAACTAGATGATAAAGTGTACATGACTCCTCCACCTGGTCTTGAAGATATGGTTGCACCAGGAAAAGTCCTTAGACTGAGGAAAGCTATTTATGGGTTGAAACAGTCTCCTAGAGCTTGGTACCATAAGCTGAGCACAACTCTCAAAGATAGATGGTTCAAGAGATCCGAGGCTGACCATACTCTTTTCACCCTACAAAGTCAAGAAGGTCTAATTGTCATTCTCGTGTATGTTGATGATATCATCATCTCAGGGAATGACAAGGTAGGTATTCAAGAAACTAAGGCCTTTCTTAATTATGTTTTTTCTATGAAAGACCTTGGTGAACTAAAATATTTCTTAGGGATAGAAGTGTGTCGCTTTAAAGAGGGACTCTTATTATCTCAACAAAAGTACACACTTGATTTATTGTCTGAAGTAGGAAAGCTTGGAGCAAAACCAGCCAAGACACCCATTGAACAAGGCTACAAAGTCATAAGAGAGGGGGAGACTGAAGATAGGCTATTTAAAAATGTTAAGCAATACCGAAGGATAGTCGGTAAGCTGGTCTACCTAACTATTACTAGGCCTGATATATTTTTTTATGTGAATCAGGTAAGCCAGCATATGCAAGCTCCCAAGATACACCACTGGAACATGGTGGACAGAATACTCAAGTATCTAAAAGGAGCTCCGGGCTAAGACATTTGGATGGATGCAATGGAAGTTCAGAACTTGTGGACTATTGTGATGCTAATTGGAAGTCTCTAAGGAAATCCTGAGCTCAGTCAGGAGATTTCATCTGATCTTTTCAGAGAAGAGCAAAGATGGGGCCATTCAGAAAACTAGGTGTGAATGTTTTATGTTTTGCTTCTTAGCTTTGGCAATGAGATTTTTCTTGTTTGCTTTTTTTCAGCCTGCAGCTCAAGTTCAGAAATGTTTCTCAGAGACTGATAACTGTGACTGTGGCATACTCGTGCACCTGCTCCTTCTCCAACTAAGAAAGTTCATGGAAAGACCAACGTGAACCTAAAGATGCCAGTTCTGGGGTGAGTGCTTGTTACTGACATGATAATTTCGTTCAAGCAGTCTAAAGAAAGTGTTCTGAGCTTTCAAAGTTCAAAATTCTCTTTTGATTGTTTGGTCTGTGGAATTCAATCTCTTATAAAGTTTTCATCTTTTCAAGTGATGAAATTAGTTTGTGTAGTTTTAGGTGGACCTTTTTTTTGTTAATGGAGCTTGTGTTTTTGTTGAGACGAGTTGGTCCTGTAATTGTTTGGACCATGAATAAGTCTCATAGATTGAGACCTTGAATGGTGCATTGTCCATTGTTGATACAAGTCTCATAGATTCACGTTTTAGTATCGGTGTTCATAGGTAGGAACATTGTCCATTCTTGATACAAGTCCCAAAGGTGACAGTTTTGATGCAACAAGCTGAGTTTCTCAGTTCATTGGCTCGGAACAGAGCATGGAGGAGCTGCTTGAGACTATTGGCAAAGTGCTTTTACAAGTTCTTAAATAGGTTGAGTTAGTATTAGACTTGGTATATGTTTTGGATAAGTTAGCAATAAAAATCATGTATTTTTGATAATTTATGGAATATAAAAGTTATATATAAGTCTAATGAAATAGACTTACAAAATATTTCTAAGAAACCTAAACCTCGAACTTATAATATAAGTTTTAAAATTAAACTCCAAGTATATTCTAAAATTCAAACCAAATACTTAATTTTAAATCTTAACAAAATATAAATATATATCTAAAAATACTAGTTATAATCATATTTATATTTTAATTTCAGAAAATTCACCTCAGCATAAATTCTACAAAATTAAATGAAAAATATAATAATATTTTTTAATTCATGTTCCAACATCCAACACTTATAATAAATTTCAAAATGAACATTTGTAGATCACCACCCGGTTAAGCTTCAATGCTGCAAAGGATGCAGCCAGATCCAAAGCGGCTTTCACTTGAGAAGCATCCGTTCCCTAACAAAAACATGCTGAAAACTGTAAAATGACAACATCCATGAAACAAGAAAAGATGACAAGAAAAACTAAGTCGCCCCTTAAACTGGTCTGTGCAAAGTGGCTCAATGACAAGGCACACAAAGTTTCATGATATCAATATAAATATTTCTCCTAAAAATTTTATATACAAGGGGGCGCAGTTTCAAGAGGAGACAGCCTACACTAAAGAGGGGTTCAAGCCTGGTTCAGTTACCTAACCAAAATAGATAAAGAGCATATAGAAGATAATTGGGAATCTAAATGATTCTTTTTGATTGGGGCGGTTTAAGCGTAGTACAACCAACAATTTCCATAGATTTAGTTGCAGAATATAATGGACAAAACTAAGAAACCTAGTGCACAAAATGAAGCTTTGGGCACGACCACCGTTGTAACACAATCGAGTTTCACAGGCAAAAATGTAGTACAAATTGGCTTAACGTGCTGAGTTCAACCAAGAAAGGAAGCCAGATCAGGGTCCTATTATAAGGCCAACTGAAAACGATAGAAAAGATATGTTCATAAAAAGTCATACCTGGCCTGATGCAAGACCATCTTTTCCTTTCCTGCATTTCCCGTTTAGTGGACACATGGCAGTTTTCAACCATTCAATAGAGTCTAGTTGCTTGGATTGATCCTGCTTGTCCGGAACTCCGCCACACACAAACACCTTGTTTGCGATTACATCTGTGCTGAATACCATAATCGACATCCCCTGCCAGATCGAGTAGACGCTTATTTAACAATCTAATTTCAACGTATAGCTTTGATGCGTTAAGAAAATAAGGACACCTTCTTTACCTTGACTTCATAAACGGCCTCTCCCACAGCTACTAATTCATTGTTTCGTTTCCAGATTTTATATTAAAAACATTTGGTTAAACTCATAGAGATGATTCCATTGCTTACCACCAACATCAAATCAATGAGTTTAACCACACTACATATAACATTCCGTGAAAAGGTTGTAAAATGAACAAGACTTATTGGTCAAAAACGGGAAAATTGTCATTTAAATCCTCAACTTTCAAATTTGGTTGAAAAAATATGAACTTTCTCTTGGACCATTTAAATCACCATCTTATCTTGAATAACTATTTTAAATCTCAACTTAATTTGACTAAATCATATTAAAGATGTCGTTAACTTGAATAACGGATTGATTTAACAGAGTTGACCACCGTTTCTAATTTTCGATAAATCCCTGAAACTACATCGTACTGAAATTTTTTAAAAACTGTTTTTGATAGGAATCGAACCCCTGACCAAAGCTACCCTCGTTGTAAACCCGAACAACTAGATCAATTACAGTTTTGTTAATTTGAATAAACATCAATAGTTATTATTCTTCTTGTCCGAATCATCTCCTCCCTACCTAAATTCTTAAATCGATCATTGTAAGGAGAGAATGATGAAGAGTGTAAATCCTGCTTTTTGTGATGATACATTTGAATAACGGTCGACGACTGGACAGAAAGACGTGTTTTTGATGAATGATCAGAGATTCCATGAATTTCAATGTGGTTTTTCGCCAATAAATTATATTAGATTCTCAGAAGCGAGAAATAAGAAAGAAAGAACAAAGAAGTGTTTGCCGGTAAAGGAGAAGAAGATGAAGAAGTCGGACCCTATAAGTGGCATTGTTGAGAAGAAAAGCTTTAACTGATTAAACTGTGAGCTTTCATGGAGGAAGAGAAAAAATTAGATAGTTAGGACAAGAAGAATAATAACTATTGATGTTTATTCAAATTAACAAAATTGTAAGTGGTCTAGTGGTTCGGGTTTTCAATGAGGGTAACTTTGGTCACGGGTCCGATTCCTATCAGATACAATTTAAAAAAAAAATTAAATACGACGTAGTTTCAGGGATTTAACGGAAATTAGAAATGGTGGTCAATGTCATCTTTAATTTGGTTTAGTCAAATTAAGTTGAGGTTTAAAATGGCTATTCAAGATAAGATTGTGCTTTAAATGGTACAAGAAAAAGTTCATGTTTTTTTTTCAACCAAATTTGAAAGTTGAGAATTTAAATGACAATTTTCCCGGTCAAAAACCTTTTTCACAACCAAAATCAGCAAAGTTTTCACGACCAAAAACAGAAAAGTTTCGCACATTAATCTATTTCTGCAACTCAATGATCACTGACTTCAAAGTTTTGATCTCGTTGATATTTCCCCATAACCTCAGATACAGAACAGAGTTTCTCGATAGAAAGCTCGGATGTCTCTTTACTTTACCTCTCCAAGTGTCTATCCTCCTACTATGGAAACAATGACTCTGAGCCTCTTCAAAAATAGTTCATGGGACCTATGTTTTTCACGGTGTCATCAGTAATTGACCTCTACAAGTGTCTCACCTTTCACTGTGTCATCATTTCAATTACTAAATCTATTACTAGCTTATTTTTTGTGTGTGAGAATTCGATTAATTAATTAACTTGGAAGTCCCCATGCCATTATCCATGATATAGTAAATACAAGCTTTAGAGGTTCAATGCACTCCCCCAACCTAAATCCGTGCATCATGTGTATTAAAACATGTTTTATTTCGTGAACAGTACCACAGGTGCACAGTCACTTAAATATTTATTTGTAATTTAGTTTTTCTAGTAAGCCAGGTTTGTTTGGTTTCCGTAGAAAGTTAAACTTACTTATAAATTCTTTTAGCCACCATTGTAAAGATTAAGGGAATCAAGTTTCTTATCTATTCTCTCTTCTTTGTACTCTTTACAATCTCTTCACATTCTCTCTTGTGTTCTTCATTCTAATCAAAATTAATCACAGATTCTAACATGGTATCAGAGCTTTAAGCTCATATTCTCTTCATCTCTTCCGCATCAATCTATATTTTTCTTCAAGTTTTTTTTTCTAGATCTGACCATGGAAACTCAAGGCAAATTAGTTGTTCCAATCACCCTTAAGGGGGTAAACTATTTGTTATGGTCTAGGATGGCCAAGACAGCTTTGGTAGTCGTGGTTTATGGAGTCATGTAACTGAAGATGAAGCTCCAAAACAAACTATCCAATAAGATGACAAGGATATTATCCTTGTGGATGAAGGCAAATGGTTTCAAGATGACCAACAAGTGTTGTCTATCATCCAAAACTCCCTAGAAGCATCAATCTTGGAGGCTTACTCCTATTGTGAAACCACCAAGACACTTTGGGAGACACTTCAAAAATTCTATAAGAATACCTCCAACTTAAGCCGGATCTTTGAAGTCAAGAAGGCTATCAACGATCTAAGCCAAGAAGACATGGAGTTCACCCAACATTTTGGCAAGTTTAGATCCCTATGGACGGAGCTTGAGATGTTAAGACCAAGCTCGGTTCATCCCACTGTCCTTAATGAGAGGCGTTAGCAAGACAAGGTCTTAACAATCTTATGTCACAACTAGTGACTTATGTGTGACATAATTAGATGACGTAATAGACGCTACGTAACTGTGACTATTTATCGTTGCAACCGTAATGACTTTAGGACAGAATATTTAGTTTAATCAGTGATTATATAGAAACTAAGGGTCCGATTGGTAATGGCTGTAGTTTAAAATTTTTGCTGTAGAAAAAAATCTGTAGACTTTTTACTGTGGCTTTAGATTTTATTGCTGTAGATTTTTTGGAAATCACTAAAAAATTGCTTTGGATATTTGGCTCTGCAGAACACTTGTATAGCTGTAAGTTATTTCAAGAGTTGTGATTTCAAAAAAAGCTTGATTACTCTGAATTTAGTGCTGTAGAAATAAAAAGGGTTGTGGACAGCACATACAGCAACTACCAATCACCCCCTAAATGTTAGTAGACAATTGGTACAAACTAGCGACAAACTGAATACTATGACTTCAAAATATAGCAAATATATTATAACTTTATTATACTTTACATATATTTCATCTAGTTACTTTTATAAAACTTCAAAATTTATAATACTAAATTAAAATTCATAATATACTAAGTATTTTAAAATCCAATACTGTAAATCCAAAATATAATCATTATAACACACACACATATATATATATATATGGAAATGTTTTTGTTTAGTACTGTTTTAATATGATAATATAAATTATTAGAGATTTGGTTAAAAAAAGAAGAGATTAAACTTGATCAGAAAAAAAAGATTAAACGATAATAACATTGGGTTAAAAGCCCAATTTGAATCCATTAAAGTGTTAACCTAAAAAGTTGCGTGTTACGTGTGTACATATATAAATGTGTTATGCTTCATGCACATAGAAAAAGGCTGCCGCAGCCTTAGAGTTGGAGAGATCACATCGTCAGGTTGAAGAGACAAAGAGGAGCAACAGAAAATCTCGTCAAAGGAGAAAGATGAATTTTTTGGTCAAATAAAATAGCAGATCAGTGTCAAAAGTTTTATGTGGGGTCAAAATAATTATAAAAGGTCATAGAGGGGATTCGAAACCCAGATTTGTGGGTTCATTCATACCTCTCTCAACAAAATAGACACTGACAACTTATGTATACAGCTTACATAAACTAATTTATATAATGTTTGTAGTGTCAAATGAACCCACTCTCCCTAACGTGGGTCTGCAGCTGGAGCTGAGCAGATCGGGGGGTCAAGGTCAGCGGCAGATCTGATCTAAGTGGGTGGTTAGAGAAAGGATGAAGCAGAAGACAGATCAGTGGAAGATGTTAACAATAGAATCCCTAATTGCACTGACACCCGAACGAGAATTGTTTTCACTCATATCCAGATAGTCAAACTCAGCTGTAGAAACAATACAGAGACTATGTTTTCTTTATAAATGTTATTCTTCCTTGTGCTATCATGTTTGTATAGTTTAGCTACAGCCGACAAATAATAATGAATAGCTGCAATGTAATACTCCCTCTGTTTCATTATAAGTGTCACTCTACAGCTGTGCACACGGATTAAGGAAACAATTAATTTTACATATTTCCTATATAAAAATACAGTTACCTATACACCTAACCATATTTTAACCAATAGAAAAACTAATTACATAATAAAATTAATAAATTTTGCATTGAAAACCGAAAACGACACTTATTTTGTAACGCAAAAAAATTCTCTACAACGACACTTAATATGAAACGGAGGGAGTATAGCGTACATCATATCTATATGAATACCCATAATATGGTTCTGGCGATAATTTTCATATAATAAAACAGTGACGAATTCTATAATTTTCAATTGACAAATCAGTAGCTAATTACAACAGATTTATGATGATATCTTCGTAATAGGATGTGAAAAGTTTAAGACTATGAGTTCGTCTTAAAAGAAACAGATTTGTGACAACTATTCTATACGAAAATTCTGTTGTAATAAGCGATGGAATTGTGACGTTTTAACAGTAACAAAGTATTACGAATTTGTAACATTTTTTTAGTTGATAACTATAACGATTTTATTACTTTTCGAGATGTCAGAGATGTGGGAGTGAAGGTGAATCTATTAACCATGTGCTCTTTGTGTGTCCGGCAGCAAGGTTGGTATGGTTTCAGGTGGGTTTTCCTTCTCCACGTAGGGGTTTCGAGCACAGAAGCCTGTTGGAAAATTTTGATTACTTACTCTCCCTGGATAAACAAACAGAGATTCCGGTGGAGATATGGCGTATTTTTCCTTGGGTGCTATGGATATTGTGGAAGAATAAAAATGCTTTTGATTTTGAGGGAAAGGAATATGATGTAGAACTCACAGTCTTAAAAATAAAGGAAG